TCCAAGCAGAGGTCCCCAGATTGTTCCTTGGGCAGCAGAGGAGAGGGTGCCTGGACTGGTCTTGTCCCATAGCCATACCGATGAATATCTTTCATATCATTATAGAGCCTTCATCTGGTGACGGATAGAGATAGAGACAGAGACCCACACTGGAGCGCTGGACTTAGCTCCTAAGGTCTAAATGAGGAGCAGAAGGAGGGAGAACGTGAGCAAGGAAGTCAGAATCACGAAGGGTGTGTCCACCCACTGAGACGGTGGGACTGATCTAATGGGAGCTCACCAGGGCCAGCTGGACTGGGAATGATGGATCATGTGATCAAAATGGACACTCTGAACGTGATTGGCCATGAAGGCTGTCTGAGAAGCCAAGGACAATGGCACTGGGTTTTTATTCTGCTGCATGGACTAATTTTATGGGAGCCTGGTTTGTTTGGATGCTCACCTTTATAGACTTGAATGGAGAGGGGAGAACCTTGGACTTCCCACAGGGCAGGGAACCCTACTGCTCTTAAGACTAGAGAGGGAGGGAGTGGTGGGGAAGGGGAGGGAAAAAGGAGGCGGGGAAGAGGTGGACATTTTTAATAAATAAATAAATAAATTTAAAAAATAAAAATGTAATGTATAATTAGGAAATATAGGTTATTAATGGATAGTCATCGATAATAATAAAGCTTGTAGTCATGTTAGTTAGTTTTTCTAGATATATAGACATCTATTTCAGTTAGATAGGTATTCTTCATATCTTTCAAAGACTACAGAATATGGCATTTTAAATGTTTTAAAAACTTAATGTTTTTCATGGCAATGAGACACATCTGCTCCTGGCAACACCAATCTACTTCAAGAGGAAAATGGGCATCGAAGAGGCTCCTTATGGAGTTTGGTAGCCATTTGGGCATAGGGACAAGATTTGTTCATCATAAAGAGCTTGAGCCTGTGGCTTAGCATAAGTGCCTTTGCCAAGAATTTGATCTTGGAAAGCCTCAAGACCTTTTGCTTTTTCCTGTTGTTCTAAAATTTTTGCCTCTTCTCTCCAGTAACATTTCCAGAGAAGTTGGGGCCCTTCTTCTAGGACTGCTGAAATTAATTAAAGCCACTTGTGCAGTAGCCTTAATGTTAAAAGCCCATGTCTTTACCATCTCACTAACAAGTTTGAAATACAAGTCATAAGATACTACTGCTTGCTTAATTTCTTTTAAATCATTCATTCCTATAGGTATTTATCTACCTTCTTTGGATCTTATTGGGCATTTAGAACTTGTGGCTTTTTCAGAGTTGATTGCTGGGTAGGAAGCTAAAACCCTGAGTGAGTCATATCTGACAAGTACTGGCAATATTAAATTCTCTCTTTTTTTCTTCTTTCCCTGCTTATCAGCTCCAATAATTTCTTCCATTGTTTCACAGCTTTTTACTATTATTTTTGTAAAGCCTGAATCTCTTGGTCTGTATATATTTCTAGTGATTTCATTGAGGCACCTAGCCTCTGGTCCTCATTTAGCCCATGAGATTCCAAGGCATAAATTTTCCCTTTAAAGGTAACATTCATCCTTGGACATTATTTGGATAGTGTGCAGATTGTCTTCCTGGAGAGATATTCTATCTGCTAACCAATCATAACTTTTTACCAGATAATGATTGTCAAATTCAACAGTGTGAAGTCTTTCAGATAATTTCTCAGTACCATTTGACATGGTTTGAATGTTGTCTGTCAAACAAATGTTATCCATTTCAATAGTATTAATTTTTTCAGGTAACTTTTGATTTTCAATAGTATTAATCTTGTCTGCTAGCTGTTCATTATTAGTCCGTAAAGACTGTATCATTTCTAAAAGTACCTTATTGGCTCGTTATCAAATCATTTCTTAAGGCTATAATATGAAAAAAAACTTAGTCCCAATATTCAATAAGCAGTTTTATCAGAAAAACTATGTAAGCCTTACAAATATAATCCATAGGATAAGTAAAAAGGTTATTAAATTCTTGGATGGTAATACTGTCTGCTGTTATAGAACTTTCAAATTTATTGATTTATTTATTAATCAAATGGTTGCCTTTGTTATGAGATTTCGGTAAATTGTTGAAGGTGTAATAATCTTTATTGTCCAGCAGGTTTTACGGTTTCAGCCACGTGGTGAAGAGACACAACTGGCTCCGTCATGACTGGCGGTGACACAAACAGTCCTGCACACTACTTTTGGTTCCTGCCTTGGTACCTGATTAAATACTGACAAATATGCTTTGCTTGACAAATTAAAAGCAATGAAATCAATTCCGTACAGGGAGCAAGGAGTCCAGCACTCAAGAGCAGGGAACACAAATTGGAAGCTGCACAAGTCACTATGAATGGCAGGAAAAGTGGCAGTGGGGGGAGAAAAATAAACACGTAGTAGGTGAAATCAAGCGAGGTGCGCAGGGGTTGAAAACCTTCTGGGTCATGGTAGGTGGGGAGTTGGGATCCACATTGGGCACCAGATGAAGATGAACGTGAAAAAGAAATCTTACACTAGTTCAGAATTGAGTATATAATAGAGTTATTTATTTATGGGTAGACTCACAGATCACAGCCCTCTGCATGAACAGGAAATCAGGAACAGATTCCAGAAGTCAGAAGAGAGAGGAAGCATGCACTTTACATCAGCATTTTATAGTATAAGAGGGCATGCCCAAGTGGATTGGTACATTAAAGGCTACTGGCTGGAGGAGTTTCTACAGCACAATGTGACAAAGCAAAAGAATTTATGTCATGGCTGGACAGTGCACCCTAATAGAGGAAAAGAGTGTAAAGTGCAAGCAAAAGAGTCAGCGATATGCCACATTCAATTGTTATGAATTCTATAAAAGAAAACATCAAGCTAATGGTCACATCATGTACAGAGAGGACCTGATGCAGACCCATATAAGCCTTGTGCTTTCCACTTCAATTTCTCTGGGGCCATGTGGAGCCTGCTTAGTTGCTTTGGTGGGCCATATCCTCTTTGTGTTCTTCATTCCCTCTGATTCCTATAATCTATCCTACTTTTCTGTGAGGTTCCCTGATCTCCAAGGTTATTGATCCAATGCAGACCACCAATTTAGACTCTATCTTTCTGCATAAGGTCTGTCTGCTAGTCTCTGAATTAATTAGAGTTTTAGTGTCTAGTTTCTTGAGTTCTTTGTATAATGGGGCACTGAACTGAACAGAGAATTCTCAACGGAAGAAGTTCAAATGGCCAAAAGACACTTAAGGTCATGCTCAACCTCCTTAGCGATCAGGGAAATGCAAATCAAAACAACTATGAGATACCATATTACACTTGTCAGAATGGCTCAAATCAAAAACACTAATGATAGCCTATGCTGGAGAGGATGTGGAGTGAGGGGAACACTCATCCATTGCTGGTGGGAGTACAAACTTGTGCAGCCACTTTGGAAATCAGTGTAGTAGTTTCTCATGAAACTGGGAGTCAACCTGCCTCAGAATCCAGCAATTCCACTCTTGGGAATATACCCAAGAGATGTCCAATCATACGAAAAAAGCATTTGTTCAACTATGTCCATAGGAGCACTATTTGTACTAGTCAGAACTTGGAAACAACCTAGGTGCCCCTCAATAGAAGAATGGATTAAGATGGTGTGGCACATATATGCTTTAGAGTTCTACTCAGTGGTAAAAAATGACATCTTGAATTTTGCATGCAAATGGGTGGAAATAGAAAATACTTTACTGAGGGAGATAACCCAGACGCAAAAAGATGAATATGATATGTACTCACTTATAAGTTGATTCTAGCCATAAACAAAGGACATTTAGTCTTTAATTCGTGATCCCAGAGAAACTACATAAGAAGGTAAACCCAAAGAAAAACATATTTTTATCCTCCTGGATATTGGAAATCCGCAAGATTGCCGGGGAAAAATTGGGAGCACAGGGGTGGGGATGGGTTGGGGGAAGGGGAGATAGGGATAGAGAAGGGAGAAGTGGAAGATTGGGTAGAGCTTGGGGGAATGGGATGGTTGAGATGAAGGAAGAGTGGATATGGGAGCAGGGAAGAAAATATCTTAATTAAGGGAGCCATTTAGGGTTGGCAAGAGACTTGGCTCTAGAGGGGTTCCCAGGTGTCCAAGGAGAGGTCCCCAGATTATTCATTAGACAGCAGAGGAGAGGGTACCTGAACAGGCCTTGTCCCATAGCCACACTGATGAATATCTTGCATATCACTGTAGAACTTTCATCTGGTGATGGATGGAGATAGAGACAGAGACCCACATTGGAGCACTGGACAGAGCCCCAAGGACCAGATGAAGAGTTGAAGGAGGGAGAACATGAGCAAGGAAGTCAGGACCCCGAGGGGTGCATCCACCCATGTAGACGGTAGGCCTGATCTAGTGGGAGCTAACCAAGGCCAGCTGAATTGGGACTGATGGAGCATGTTTTCAAACTGGACTCTCTGAATGTGGCTGACAATGAGGGCTGACTGAGAAGACAATGATAATGGCACCGGGTTTTGATTCTACTCTATGAACTGGCTTTTTGGGAGCCTATTCTGTTTGGATACACACCTTCCTAGACCCAGATGGAGGGGGGAGGACCTTGGACTTCCCATAGGGCAGGGCACCCTGACTACTTTTAGGACTGGAAAAAGAGGGCGAGTGGGAGTGAGGGTAGTGGGAGATAAATGGGATGATGGGAGTAGGTGGTGATTTTTAATAAATAAATAAAAGTAAAAAAAGAAGTTTAATATTTTAAAGTAATAATTATAAAAATTAATATATAGATATAGATATCATGATTGATTAGCCATTTGGGGAATATGATTTCATGTCATTCTTACTATTTTTTACTTTATCTTGTGGAACAGGGGTGAAAATATGTACATAGAAAATTGAATTTGAAATTTCTAACTAAAAGTTATCAGTGTCCTAGGAAATGAGTAATAATTACTTCAACTAGAATAAAATTAATCATATCAACTCAAACTGTGTATTTGTGGATAATTTTTTCTAATGAATAATGTTTCACATTACTTCTGAAACATGAATTTTTTTCTTTGAAGTATTTTCTTCAAGGCAATATTGACATCCTTATTTCTCAGGCTGTAGATCAATGGGTTCAGCATGGGAACAACAGTAGTATAAAACACAGATGACACTTTCCCTTGGTCCATTGATCTCACTGATGATGGCTGTAAGTACATGAATGCAACTGAACCAAAGAAGACAGCAACAGCAGAGATGTGGGAACTGCAGGTGCTGAAGGCTTTGGACCTGCCTTCTGTGGATTTAATCCTGAGGATGCTGGCAATGATGGAGATGTAGGAAGAAATAATGGTGAGAGTTGGGACAAAGATGTTCACTGTACTAAATATTAGAATCAAAAATTCATTAATATAGGTATTAGAGCATGCAAGCTCCAAGAGGGGAAGAAGATCACAGAAATAGTGGTTGATGACATCTAACTTACAGAACTGAATCCTTATCATGAAGCCCGTGTGAACTGATGCATTGAACACACTAAAAATGTACACTCCTGAAATCAGGGAACTATAAATCTGATAGGACATGGTTACATTGTATAGCAGGGGTTTACATATGGCAACATAGCGGTCATATGCCATTACAGCTAATGTGTAACTCTCCGCTATGCCAAATATGATAAAGAAATAGAGCTGAGTCATGCATCCACAGTAGGAGATGAGGTTCGTCTCTGTCACAAAGCTCACCAGCATTTTCGGGATGACAACTGTGGACTGACAGAAGTCAATGAAGGACAGACTGCTGAGGAAATAGTACATGGGGTTGTGCAGGTGGGAAGTGAGCACAATCAGTGTGATCATACCCAGATTTCCTACTACAGTGACCACATAGATTCCAATGAAGAGGAAAAAGAGGGGCATCTGGAGTTCTGGTTTCTCTGAGAGTCCAGCTAAGAAGAACTCAGTTACTATGCAATGGTTTCCTGCTGCCATGTTCTTCATTCAGATCCTGAAAGAGTAAAATAATTGTTTAAACCAGGTAGTGGTAGTTCAAGTCTGTGGTCCCATTACTAGAGAGGTATTAGCAGGCAGATTTCTATAAGTTCAAGACCAGTCTGGTCAACCGAGCCATTTTTAAGAAAGGCAAGACTACTTTCCCAAATAACATATATGTCTGTGTATGTGTATATGTATCGACGTATATGTATTGTGTGTATACATATTATATATTTATATATGGATGTATGCATGCATATATATATGTATACAGAGAGAGAAAAAGAGAAGGAGAGTGAAGTTCAAGTTGTCAGAGTGAATTTATTATTATTTTCCATGTACACAAAGTACACATATAAATTGTTTCTGCACTATATAATTACATTAATGGATCATTTAGAAAAAGAAAATTTATCTTTTATTATTAATTTTAAACTTATCCTTTAAAATAAGGATATTTTTATGTGGAAATATGGATGTCTTCTGTATAAAACATTATCACTCTGTTCAGACTTTGATAATTTTTATGATTTCAAAGCAATGCTCATAATCTGAGAATTAGAGTGGATATCAGTGAGGAAAAGTGACAGACACACATGAATGAGCAAATTTCCCTAAATAAAGAGTTATCAAAAATCTAATTTCTCCAGAGGATTTATGGTTTTCCTTTTTCAAAAATTTTCATTGTTTTTCTAATTCTTAATAGACATAAGGTATTTAAATTTCCAAATGTGAAGATTAAATGACATCTGGAGCAATCATTACTCCTAAGACTACGTACTAGATGAATGGTGCTTCATTAGGAAGTGGTTTCTGTTTGTGACCCAATTCTTAGGAGGAACAGAGTCAGTTAGCAGTGGTTAAATAGTGAGGCCATGGAGACAAAGTGCCTATGCTCACTCACAGTCACTTAGCAATATAACCCTTGGCTACTACAATGAATTTTTGTTACTTACCATGTAAAGAAATAAGTAATACTAATGGCGAGTCAATCCCACAACAATTATCTTTTAAGGGGGTATTTATTTTGGGGGGTAAAACTTACATACACCATAAACCGTCAGGAAGGGAGCCCAGTTGCTGGAGCAGGAGCTCGGAGTAGGAGCTGGAACCAAGCACTGGAACCAAGAGGCCCGAGCAGAGACCTGTGGCTCTTTTTTAAAGAGAAATATACCACGCTCCAGTGAGCTGGTATTTCAGAAGCTATTGGCTGATGGAGCAGAAGGTGCTCCCACAGCACCGTGGGCTCATGCTTCAGCGACTATTGGCTGAAGCAGCGGAAGGTACACCCACAGCACCTCCCCTTTTTGTTTAAGTAAGAGAGTTCTAAGCCTACTACGAAATTATATACAGTAAGTACAAACCTACACAATTATATACAATAAGTACAAATATCCTATTCTAACTAGCTAAAGTCTTATATAATAAATAACTTGGCCAAGTCATGAGAAGATAGTAGCTACATTTATCTAGTCTTCAACCCCATAGAAGATCTGAAAAGGGAAATAATGTTACCTGAGTAATTAGGAAGTGCAATCAAAGAACTTCCAAAACATGCAACAAATCACAGAGACAACTGGCTACCTGGGCAATCACCAAAGACCTGTTTGCAGCGTTGAAGCAACCAACTTTGACTAAGGCCTAGAATAACTGACAGATTATTTTTAACAGGCAAGAGATTTTTCAAAACCATCTTACCTTGTCTTGGCAAGATTTAACAGTTCTGTTTATCCATTTCCGGATTTTATCCATTTCCGGATTTTAACAGGCAAGAGATTTTTCAAAACCATCTTACCCTGTCTTGGCAAGATTTGACAGTTCTGTTTATCCATTTCCGGATACCCTGTATTTGTCAGTAGTTGAGGTATGGGCAGTTCCTTACCCAGAGGCCAGTTTTGTCAAGAAGACAAGCTCCAAGTGGAGTGTCTTTGGTGCTCAACAACCTCTCGGGAATAGGTCGGTGTTGCCAGGAGTGATTATGTCTCACTACACAGAACTCTAAGATTAAATTAAATGCCATTTTCTACAGCTCTTCGAAGAGGTTGAAGACTATTTATATATAATCTCTATGTATCTAAAGAACCTGATTAGTCTAACCATAAATATGACAGACATAGATGACTATTGATCTACAATTCTTAACATGTATCTAACTTAAGGACAAAGAGAATAAACAACTGTGCAATAAATGAGGACAATGACCTTCAAATGTAAAAAATAAATATCAATACATAAACAATATATGAGTATCTTAATCAGAGGTAGAAATGTACACTGCAATAAGGTATACATATATCAATACATAAAAAATGTTTTAAACAGGTAGACGCATGCATATATACAATATTCAATATACGCCAATGTAATTATCTATAAACAATAACTCACAAATACCATTATTATCTATCCAATTATCCCCTTTTTTTTTCAAAAGATCTCTGAACTTATAAAATTCCTTTCCCAACTCTCAACTGTATACTAATTATAATCAATCCCTAAATATTGTTCCTAAACCTGAGGACAAACTTTGCTGAGAGAGGGAACATCGTCCTCTAGAATTACTTCCAGCTGTCATGGGGGTGAGGTTCTTTCTTGAGGAGCCTGTGTAAGTAAAATGATGGTTAAATTTCAAGGTCAATGTCTTTTAAAATTGCAAACAGTCTCTGAGTATTTTGTGGAGGCCTGGTCATAATGTTGTTCAAGATGTGCACCATTTCAGCTAACCAAGTTGGAATCATCTATGCAGCTGATACCCGGAACAGGACTTGTAGTAGCACTGTCAGTATCATGACATCATATCAACTGAGTGGAGTTGTTGTTATGGGGGTCCCATCTTCTTCCTGGAAACCTCAAAAGTCAGTGCACGAAAAACTCATTGTTCATTATGGAAAACTTAAACATTAATTATATAGACATATACAACCATATATTCAATGAAAGGTATGATAGACATATTCAGTGAAAAGTATGATAGATATGAAGAAAAGAGAAGATGTTTTCTAAACTCCTATTTCTTTCTGTCTCATATCATGGCTCTTGACATACGACAGAAACTCCAGAGACTCTGGGTTTTTTCTCTTAACAACAGGCTTGGAATTAGAGAGGGACGGAGCCAAGAGTCCAACTACAAAACCAGCTCTACAAATTCAGAAATATGATTTAGTATATTGCAGAGCTTCATACTCACAGAACCTATTCAGTTTTCTTGATAATCCATATTTGGTTGTTATTTTTCCATCTGTCAGTATTCAAACATCCAGGGTCCGTTGAATTTTTCAGACGAGTGTTTTCCTGTGGAGACAAGAACAGAACCCTGCCCCCATTTTATGTTTTTCTTACCACCTGTATGGTCATCATCATTGTAGATGCTGTCATTTCTCCTTTCAAAGAGGTTTCTTCTCTTCAGATCTAACCTTTATTAATTTTGATGGTATCCACAATTTTTCTTCTCCTGTGGAAACAAGAGCAAAACCCCTTCCCCAATGCAGAAAATCTCCTGGCTTCCATTGTGAGGTCAGCACATCCTTGAAATAAATTGGTTGATTTAATTCAGCAGACTTTTCCAATATCCCATGTCTTTCTGCAGTCGTTGTCCCCTTCTCATTAGCATTGAGAAAATTCAAGGTTAATAAAGCATTATGTAACCTATTCCTGGGGGTATTTTCCACCCCTTTCTGTTTGTTCAACATATCTTTTATAGTTCGATTTGATCTTTCTATAACTGCTTGACCTGTAGAATTATATGGTATACCTGTAACATGATTAATATTATAATAAGCAAAAAATCGTTTCATTTTCCTAGAAACATAAGCTGAACCATTATCCGTCTTTATCTGTGTAGGTATACCCATGATGGCCATAACTTCTAATAAATGAGTGATTACTGAATCCGCTTTTTCTGAGCTTAAAGCAGTTGCCCACTGGAAACCTGAGTACATGTCAATGGTGTGATGTACATATTTTAATTTGCCAAATTCTAGAAAGTGAAACACATCCATCTGCCAAATTTTATTCCTTTTAATACCCTTTGGATTAGTCCCTGCAGGCAATGGTGTTTGGTTATAAAAGGAGCAAGTAGGGCATTTCTTTACAATCTCCTTAGTTTGTTGCCATGTAATAGAAAACTCTTTTTTCAAGCCTTTGCTATTGACATGATGTTTCTTATGAAATTCAGATGCCTGCCGCATACTACCAATCAATAATTGATCAATATCTGCATTACCTTGTGCTAGAGGACCTGGCAGACCCGTATGCGATCGGATATGCGCTATTTACATAGGGCAGAGCCTGTTCCTGATTATGTCTTGTACCTGGATAAACAATGAGGTCAGTTCTGTATCATCAGGTATAAATTCAGCAGTTTCAATACGCAAAATAACTCTTTCTGCATATTGTGAGTCAGTAATTATATTAAGAGGTTCTTTAAAATCTCTAAGCACCATAAGGATGGCATATGATTCTGCCTTCTGGACAGAATCATAAGGACTTTGTTCAACTTTACTCAATTCTTCTGATTTGTAACCTGCTTTCCCTGATTTATTAGCATCAGTATAAAATGTATGGGCTCCGGTTATTGGAGCATCATGGACAATTCGAGGGAAGATCCAAGAAGTTCTCTTTATAAAGTTAAGTCTCTTGCTTTGGGGTAATTGTTATTGATTTCTCCCAAAAAACTAGCACAAGCTCTTTGCCATGGTTCATTGTCTTCCCACAACTTTTTTTATCTCATCAGCAGTGAAAGGCACATAATTTCTGCTGGGTCTATACCTGCTAATTGACGAAGTCTCAATTTTCCTTTTATAATCAATTCCGAGACTTTTTCCACATAAGTTTTTAATTTTTTACCTGGTTTGTGTGGTAAAAAGATCCATTCTAAAATAGTATCTTCCCTCTGTATTAAAATTCCCATAGGAGAAATTCTGGAAGGCAATATGACTAGAATGCAACTAAGATTTGGCTCCACCCTATCTACATGGTCCTCCTGTAATTTTTCCTCAACCATCGTC